ATGGTGTTTTTCTGATCCTTGAGAGAGGATGGGTTTCATTACCTGAGGGACTTCAGCAGGGGATGTCTTCTTTTTTCTTTTTTTTTTTTCTTTTTTGCTGCTTGTCAGTGTTGTGGCGCCGCTATGCACTCCTGTGTTTTCAGCCACTCTGGGATTTCTGTAGAACCAGCAGGAGCCAAGGCAGCCCAGAAATCAGCTGTGACGGATAGCCATGTCTCTCTGAGAGGATGGAGGGGTCTCCGGGGTTTGCAGCAGTGATAGAGACACTTCCCTGCTCCAGCCCCTGTGACTTCTTTAATTAACCTCTTTGGGAGGACCAGCCTAGGTAATCACAGCCTAGAAAGTCCAACAATTAGGACCTATCTGACCTTTGAGTGTCCAGTAGTGTGTCCAGTTTCTTTGTCTGCCTGTTCCCTACCTCTACCCCCTCCCACCCTCAATCAATGCTGTAATGGCACTGCCACACAGGGAAGAAGACAACAGCAGACACAGGCTGCAGAATTCTTGGAACTGTAGCTCTGTAGTTTTCATTTTCCGTAACCCCTGTTTCCTTGTTCACACAGAGTTATCTGTTCTCTCTCTCTCCTAAACTCTCCAGTTCTTGTGGCTATAATTTGTTTTCTTTCAGCGATTCAGTTTAATGGCAAATTAGAAATGGCACCCGTTGCCACGTCCTTCTGTGCTTTTTTTTCCTCCTTCTTTTTCCCCCCCTCTCTTCGCTCTTGTACCGTGGACCTTGTGGCCTCATTACATACAAACAGTCAAGAAGCACGGACAGAAATAAAAATGTATCTTATTTTTCACATTAGACTTCTAAGGGACAAATAGGCCTCTACGCTTCTCCGGGGGGAGGGCTTTGAGTGACGCCCTAGAACAAGCAGATCAAACGCCTCTTCGGCCAGCTCCTCAGCTTTCTTCCTCTATCTCGCTCTATTTTGGTTGCTTTCTTTCATTCATGTTGGGGAACAGTGGCTTAAGTGGCTCTATTGGAGCTCTCTCATGGGCTCTCAAATGAAGCCTGCGTGAGCTTCGGGGAAATAAATTGGTTTGTTCTGAGGCGTTGTCTCTTGTGGCGCCCCCTGCTGTTCAAGCTCTGATCTGTGCTTGTCCGATGGAGGAATTGAAAGGGTTGGGTGGAGTGGCGGGGATGAGCAAAACAAAATACACAAGCCAGCAGTGGGAGAGGTCAAAGAAAAAAAAAGCTGGGGTGGGAATGAGATGAGTCATGTGTTGGAACATTTACATTTCATTTTGGTCGAGAGTTTTATACAAGCTAAATGAGCGCTCTGCATTTGATTTATTCACAGTGGAAGTAGAGGAGGCGACAAGGACCCTGTAGATGCATGAATCCACAACTCCCCCATGTGGGCATCCTGTACAAAACTGCTTCTTTTTCTCTTTTTCTTTTTTTGGGAAAAAAAGTATATAAATCTTTTTACTGATTTGTATCAGCGGCATCTTGTCAGGGCCTAATATTAAATTTATGCCCCGCAGACAAATTTAGTGTCATGCAGACGTAATTTCCTTTCTGTTTTTTCTATTTATAAACTGTTTCCACCAGACTTGGCAGTTTCACATGCCAACTGAAGTTTTTTTTCCCCCCTTGTTTTCTGCATATGTTATGTGAGGCGTTGCTCACTCGCATATTCTGTGAAGCCGCGCGGTACCCGTATCCCCGTCTGCGTGTCTGCGTGTGAGTGAGTCACAAAAATGTAAGATTAGGATTTCTTTGGCACAGCATTTTTGTTTGTGTCTGTGTTTTGTAAGTACTGATTATTTTCTAAGAAGATGAAAATGTGCAATGTGAAATAAATGTGTTGTTTATCACCACATGCCACTGAACGCAACGGACTGTCAGGCTGCTGGTATACTTTATACATTAAAAAGCATTTGTTGGTGCTCGTTTAGCTCCACAAACACAATCCCGTGGCTGGAACACAGTGGCCTGGGTCCAAACCCAACCTGTGGCTGACTACTGCATTTTCTATCCTTCTATACCTTCTATCCAAAAAAAGAAAAAGTATTTGCCTTAAAGGTGTCTTTGGCATTTTAACATCTGAGCACTGGTTTCGATTCTTTAAAGTTGAGTGCAGGGGGTTGTTTAGAGGTGTGATGCTGATGGTTTTATTGTTTTTTACTGCCTTATTAATATTATATGTGGACAGTTTGTTGTCATATTGATTTTATTTTTAAATCAGCCGTAAAACTTCTAGGTATTAGGAATAGGAACCAAGATATTTCTTGGTTGTGTTTTTTGTTTTGTTTTTTGTTAGTAGAGGTTTTTTGGCAGAACTTCATCTCCTTTCAAGGTGCATGAAAAAAAAACTCTGAAGAGGTTAAGCTGTAGCAGCACTTGCAGTATAGAGAAAATCTTTAATGCTTGACAGGATTCAGAGTCATCATATGGTCTGCGATGATAAGCCGAAATGCGTCAGTCGAGGAGGAAAGTTGTTCTTTATGCTGCAAGTGTTGCTGAAGATTTAACCTCGTCTGACCTTTTTTAACCACATGCATGTAGAAAAGCACTATGGCAACCAAATGTTCAGTTTGCACCATTGGCAGGTGATAATGTAGAGAACCTAAACAGAGCAGTTTAAGGTAAACAGTAAATATGCTGGTACTTATAGATCACTTTTCTACTGTAGCCGAGAACTTAAAGAGCCTTCTTCAGACAATCACGCAGCACTTTCATGATATGTCTTTAACAGTTTTGTTTATGAAAAGCACTCACAGTGATATTTGTTCGAGCAGCATTTCAGTGTTGCCACAAATCAAGGTATAGTCAACAACTTTACATGACATATTATTGCACAGTTTATGATGCAAAATATGTTGCAAAATGTATCATATTTTACAAGATAATACAAGGCAAGGGCTTAATCAGAAAACAAACTGAATGACAGAGTTGTCATGTAAAGATCCTTACTTTTTTTTTATCTTTTCTCAACACTATGCCAGGATAGTTGATGCTCAGTAAGGATGTTTATACAATGCTACGAAAATCTGCTTGTTTGTTTTTTGCATATTTGTCACACTAATTAACAAACTACTTTAATATTACACAGAGATAAAGTGAGTCAATACAAAATGCAGTTTTTAAATGATCATTTCATTTATTAAGAAGAAAAAGCTATGCAAACCTTACTCGGCTCTGTGTCGAAAAAGTAATTGTCTCCTAAACCTAATGACTGGTTGTGCCACCCTTAGCAGCAAGAACTGCAATCAAGTATTTGCGATATCTGGCAATGAGGCTTTCGCTGTGGAGGAACTCTGGCCAATTCCTACTTGCAGAATGGTTTTTATCCAGCTACAATGGAGGCTTTTTGAGCATGAACGATCTGTTTAAGGTCCTGCTAAAGAATCTCAATTGGATTTCAGTCTGACAAGGTCACTCCAAAACCATCATTTTAGCCATTATTTTTTCATTAATTACAGCAGGTAGCCTAGCTAACAAAGCAGAAATCTTTAGTCCACAGGATATTTTCCCAAAAGTCCTGGGGATTATCAAGATTTTTTTGGCAAACGTGAGATGAGCCTTTGTCTTCTTTTTGGTCAGCAGAGGTTTTCATCTTGGAACTCTGGAGTGATTTTAATATGCCAGCCACTCCTGGGAAGTTTCGCCACTGTTCTAAGATTTGTGAATAATGACTTTCACCACGGTTCACTGGAGTCCCAACGCCATAGAAATAGCTTTATAACCCTGTCCAGACCAATAGCGGTCAATGATTTGAGTTTCTTGAGATTGTGGCAGGCTGCGGGTTCGGGGCTGCAGCCCCTGTGTCTTCTACACCATGGCTGCTGGGTGCAGAAGGTACCCCTCAGCTCTTGGTGGGTGGCACAATTGTCCCTGCAATGATCCTCCTTGGGCTCTCGTGCCTCTGGATGTCTGGGAGCCATATCTAGCTCCCTACACTCACTATTATACATTTACATGAAAAAATCCTATGAATACAAGCACACAGGTGTGCAAACAGATGTACAAACAGGTATGCACAGGCGCTCTTTAGAGGCTGCTGCCTCTAAACATATCATGTAATCCTGGTACTGTGTGCTGCTCAGTAACATTCAATATATTTATTACTCACTGTTCCTTTTGCATATGTTGTTTGTTGCTGTGGTTTCCCTGCTGTGTTGTTATTGTTTTGTTTTTGTTTGCTGTTTTCTTTTCAGCAGTTGGTGATTCAGATTTTCAGTCTTTCCTCTCTCTATCCCTCTTCTCTATTTTTCTCTCCCTCTCCTTCTGTTAACTTTCTTTCTAAATGTTTCTTTCCCTTTTCTTACTCTTTCCAGTCCCCAGTTTTGTCTGTAATGATTATAATAACTAAAAAAAAAAAAAAACCCTAATAAAAATCTAATAAACTATGACTATCAAGTCATAGCAAAAGGCGTAAAGCTCCACTTGGGAAAGTAAATGTGCGGGGCATTTTTCTTGGCCTTTAGACAATAAAGGGGGGTATTTTTTCCACGCAAAGGTAAGGTAGGTTTTCCCCTAATACATGAAATAATAATTTTAAAAACTGCACTTATAAACTCATTATATCTTAACATTCAGATTTGTTTGATGAGCTGAAAGGTACAAGTGGGACTAAAGAACAACAACTATGAAATCAGGAAGTAATAGAACAGGTTTTTCACAGCTCTGCAGACTTTGTGGGTGATTGTTTTTTGGAGGTTTTTTTGTTTTTGTTTTGTTTTGTTTTTGAATACTTGTGCATAGTTGACTTTGTTACACATCTTGAATATGTACTTTTATTTTAACAAGTCATCTTTTGTCCTGCGAGATCAGTGATTTTGTGCATGGTGCCTGACAAATAAATAGTAAACTAAGTCAATATGTCCCAAAATGGATAGGGTAATATAAAAACAAGCCTATAAGCTTGATGTATATAAAACGTCATATATTTTCGGGGGTTGTGGATAAGAGGGCATTATAGGAGATTAAATAAGAAAAAAGGTCTTCTGATAAAAGGACTTTATTTTTCTATTTCAGCTTGAAATAAATTAAAGTAAAGATTTATGGATTTATCATAGTGTTTTAAGTAAAATCCATGGGAGACGTGTTTATCTAGCAAGATAAAGCCGATTATGCTCCAGGCCCGGAGGCAGCGCACTGGACGTGAACTAGCAATTTTATTGGTCGCCGGCGTGGCAGGAAGTCATAGGCAACCAATGGAAAGGGGCAGAGATTCGTCACTGTATTTCTCCATTCAACCTACCTGTCAACTTTACTGTATACGCTTCTTATTTAACGTTAGCAAGTATTTAGCGTGTTTTCACTCACTAAACTCGTATTAAACAGGACTGAAAAAGTTCTAAAAAATAATGTCGTAACACTAGTTACAACGAGTGAAAGTGTTAGCGGTTTAAATGGGCGAAGTTCAGCACAGTTAGTCCCCCCCTGCACTGTCTAAACTGGCCGGTCTCCGGAGGAGGATATTAGTCAGAGCCCGCAGGATGGAGTGGCTCTTCCAGCGATGCTATAAAGAGGTCGTCTTGAGCTTTCGCTCCGTACTGCTTGTGTCGTGTTTGGTGAGATACTGTTTTTGTGGAATTACATGAACGTTTCTGTTTTCGAAAAAGTCTCGTAAAAGTTGTGACTTGCCCTGGTGACAGCTGGTGCTTTAATGTTGGCCGCTAATTTAAAATTATAATAAAAAAAAACTGCCTGCTTTACAATGACTTGTTTGGGGGGAGGTGGAGGATTTTACGTGCATCTGTGCCGGGCTGTGAAGCAGCGCTATACGGAGAAGTAGGGCAGCTTATAAATTGGTCACTGTATCCAAGCCAAGTCCAATACTAATTTATCTGTGACAGACAGTGCCAAATAATAAGAGGATAAATACTGAATCCAATCCAAACATGGCAATCCCTACAGAGGCCAGTGGATAATTAAATTGAGTTATAAGTTTCCTTCATCCCAGCATAAAAAAAGAGGGAAAAAAAGAAGTTTGACATCTAAATGTGATAATAATTATAGACAGGCTTTATAAACATTACCCAGCTCTTGCAGTGTCTTGAGATGTCAGCATTTGACAGCCCTGTCCTATTGCACTCACAAATCCCCTTCTAGTTCTTGATCCTGCTGGCGTGCCTGTTCCCCGGGCTGTGGTCCATTGGGGTCCAGCTTCATTCTGTATGCACAGGGAGCTATGTACCAGGGCACTACTCTGTCCTTGTCATCAACACTCCCAATGAGCAAACAGCAAAGGACGTTGGCAGGTATGGTGCTTTTTTTTTTTTTTTTTTTTTTTTTTTTTTAAACACTTGCATTGCATTTTGCAGTCTCCTAAGGTGTCATACACCGTTTGTTTGTTTTTTTCAGTGTTTCCACAAAGTGAAAGAATATTTATGCCTTTTCTTGTTCAGCTGAAAACATTATTATCACCCTTGTTTGGCGTGCGCAGTAATTATAAAAGTGCCAGCAGCCAGTTAGCTAAGAAATTGGAAACACCTCTAACACTTATTAATTAGCACTTTTGCTCACATTTTCTTGTTTAATTATTAGTTTTGTTTAGTTTTTATAAAACTGTGCAACAACAAAAGTTTCATTTGCTGCCAGGCAACAAGAAGTTCCAAATAGCTTCACATTTATTAAACAGAGCCTTTCCAATCTGATTTAAAAAAAATACTTTTCTAATTGTAAAAAAAAGAAAATAACTGAGTATTGATGCTCATCTCCTTTTTGGCGTGTAACTTGTGGTTTGTGAAAGATTTGAAGTGACTGAAGTGATTTCCCCTGACATAAGTTTGCCTTTTCTGCTCGGAGAAGAGATACAATTCTGTCAAACCAACAAGTGCAACAGAGCACTGTGTTTCCACTCTCATCTCCCTTTGTTGGCATTTTAGCTGCATGCAGATGAGATTCCATCTATTAACCACGTGTCAAGGAAAATAGCCACAGTGCGCTTTCCATATATGTAAATCACCTCCTTCACAGCTCCTCGCTCAGGGAAGGGGGGCAATGCAAAGGTGGTAATAAAATTTAGTTTACCGTCTTTTTTTCTTTTCTTGAATTCCCATCAGATGTCCTTCCCCTTCAGCTTGCTTCGTGAGTCTTGACAATGAAGGGCCCAGTTTTAATAGACAAACAGCTGTTGGCTTGTGTTTGATTTTTTTTCTCTTTTCCCTCTTAGCCCCCTTCATTTCATTTCCACCAATACATCCAACCGTTCTCGCCATTCTCTCTTTCGTTTTTTTCTTCCAGGGCAATCATGGAAAGGCGGTTGGCGGCCAGCGTTAACATTCTCTCCAAGACCTCCACAATGTAAATTACACCTGACCTCCATTTTTGAAATGCCTCTCTACCCAGGCTGCACACAATCACAAAAGCTCCCGTTAGTTACCGTGTCCATCACATGTATGCGCTCATAAATACAATGAATGCACATGCTTCTTTGTTCACAAAGGGGAAGCTGTTTTCTTCACAAACCACAAAGCAAATGGGCTTCACCTGAATTTATTTGTTTAGCCTTATTGGAAGGCTACTGGAAACTTGAATGGCAGTTAGCCTTCAAAGTAGGCATGTTTTTGCATGCATGGATTAGCTTTCCTGTCAATGCATAACAGCACAAAGGCGGGGGGTGGGGGGGCGATTAGGTTGGGGGCGGGGGGAGGAAGCTGAACTTTGGACAAATAAGAGTAACTGAATAGAAATGTCAGTGTTAACACCTGTTTACAAAATAGAGGTGAAAATACAGGTTTGGCTTGGACTTGGCGTGGTGTGTTATTGCAGGTATGCCGTGAGCTTTCGGTTATCTTCGTATCTTAAATGTCAGCATAAAACTTGTTGACATTCCCGTGCTTTAAAACCACTTTTTAAACAAAGAGGGGGTTTTGCACCTGACACCACAGGAGCATATCAAGAACAGTCCGACAGCCACTGTAGGGTGTAATAAACTATTATTAGTTCTTTGCATGAAAGCTCTTATTTTGTTAAATTTGAAGGCTCCATTTGTCTGCTTGTACTTTCCGGTCAGTAGCCCTGCAGTGCTTCAGTTCCAATACTTTCTGTCATTTTAGGTTCTATTGGAAAGGAGAAATCCAGGATGCAAATGAAATCCTGATGGTAAGCTCTCGGAGACAATTCCTTCTGTGATCAGCATGCACTCGGGCATGTCGAAATACAAGACTGGTGAGATGAGATGTGTTTGTTGTTGCAGCTGGTGAAAACAAAGACTTCCAGGATCCAGAAGGTGGTGGACTACGTGAGGTAAGAGGCTTGTCACGTTGTCAAACTCACACTGGACACTGTGGCTTGTGCTCTGTGAAGAAGAGTTATTAAAGGGAGAAAAAAGCCAGGTTCGTGGCTTCAGTCTGAACATTATTTTCAGTTCAAACATTCACATTCAAACACTGATACTTTCATGTTTGGACAAAAAACTAGAAGTAATACATAATGAGGTTTGTCTTGTCAGCTTCTGCAATTCTGCATCAATATTTCACACTATTTATAATTAGAGATTGGCTCATTCTACATGACAATTCACGTTTTCGGGCTATTCAGTATTAGAGCGTTAAAAACACTGCATAATTCCAATATATGGACACATCTTCAGTGTACTGTCAGCATTGTGAGGCTTTTAAAGCACTGCAGTGCTTTTAGTCCTAGGTGATGGGAAGAAATTGAATCAAGAACCACTTTATACAGATTTGAGTTTACACGAACACGTTCTTTGCGTGCCTTTAGGTCTATACATCCCTACGGGAACCCAGAAGTCCTCAGTCTTGCAGTAGATGACGGCAGCTTGGCGTACATGAAATGGATGGACGAAGCCATTCCAGATGACTGATATTTCGTTAAGGCCAAAGCTAATCTCAGCGAGGACTGCCGTCAAACAAGGAAACTGAGCCATGTGTGTTTGTTGCTCTTAACTTTTTTTTTCCAGGATTTGGAGAGTTTTAAAAGTTCAGGAAGTGCTCTGTAGCATTAACGTTTAATACAAGGAAGTTTTGTTGGCCTGACCTTCTTAACCGGAAGTGTACTGCAGAGATTGGATTTCAAACACTGCTTGTAAAAAGAAAAAAAATTACATGAAAGAGTCAAAGTTCCACTCAGGTAATCTGTTGTAAGGAAATGGACAAGAACTCTTATGGTGCTTTTAAGCATATCAGTTCTTTTTTATGGTATGTTACCAGATCATTCTCTCCAGTTTAAAAAAACAAAAAAAGACTTTTTGAGTATAGTATGTGGCAAGTCACATAACCAAGATGTAATAATAATAATATGAAATAACAATAATAATCAATAATCAAGACCTATAATGTGATAAAAGTCATAAAAAGTACAGTCATATTGCCCCTTATTTCCACTTTGCCTTAACTCACCTACATGGTATATGTACATGGCGTATATGCTTTACTGCTATTGTCATATAGGAAGTGAAAAAAAAAGTGAATTTTATGGAACCACAGTCTGCAGCACTTCTCTTTATGCCCACCAGTCCAGTAGGGCCAGGAATTAAACACACTGGAATGTAGCCTGTGTGCATTTACATAATTTGTCTCAACTTTTAGAGAGTTTTTGAGTTGACCCCTGTATTTTGTTAGACCCAATTTTTTCTATTTTGCATCTGCAAAAGGCTTCAAGGAGAGACCAGCTGAATGTCAATAATGTAGAAGGCCACTGAGTTTCACCCTATTTTGGGTGAATGCATAAAGAAAACCCTCTATGCAAGGTTAAACTTCACACTTGCTGTAAACCTATTGGCTCATCTCTCGTCTGTAATAAATGCATCTATATTTTATACTATTCCGCTGTATCTCTTGAATTATTTTTTCCGCTCGAGGACAAACCTTTTCTCTCCGATATTTCCATACCTGTCATCCATACATATGCTGTGTATAATGAAATAATGGTAAAATACAGGTTTAATAACCTATTTCTTAACTTAATGTAATTTATGTGCATTAAGAAATGTTTAAACAGCTCAGTACCAAAGTAATTAGTAAATCACTGTCACCTAGATAACATACCATGGCCCACGGTGAAATATTACCCTATAATATATTTATTGTTATGAGTTATGTATTTTTAAAGCCCTTCCCAAAAGCATAGGCACACTGAGAAATCTGTGCATGCAGCAAGACAGGGTATCAGAGCAATCTGTGTGTACCCACAGTTTATAGATTATCTGTCAGGCTCTAGAGTAACACTTGTCCACATGCGCACATCCTTTATTAGTGTGAACTGAAACACAACAAAGAACAGCACGCCTACTTGTTGCATAAGTGTCCCAGATTAGCTCTGCCTGTGTTAATAAAACATCTACTACCAATTAGCACAACCTCACCTAAAGATAAAAATATGTCTTTTTTATCTAACTTACTATGGGTAAGTTCATCTATTTGATTTTTATATCAGTTTTCCACTTTTAGCACTCCTTCCTAATTCTAAAAGCTGAAAGAACTGCTGCTGATCTGTCCTTGATCTTCATAGATGAGTCCAAATTTTCTAATAAACGGCACTTGCACATTATGTGAACAGACCAGGTAAGAGTCTTGTTGCCCTTATGAATTTTACAAAGTGTACATGAGCAAATATGCTGCCTGTAACCTTTCAGATACTATTAAAATTTAACTTCATTCAATTTCAAAACCAGGTAATTTTAGCAAATCTGATAGGTGTACCACCCCACATTTGCACTTTTGCAAAAATTTGTCAGCCGTGCAAGCTTACTCATTAAACCGAAGTATGCACTAAGCCTGAGTGTGCATAAAGTGTTTCCGGCATGAGGCCTCAACAAAGGAACTGCAGACATGGTTTAGTTTGGTGTTGTGTCTGTGGAGCCAAAATAATCCTGCCTGTCAGGTCCAGAGTTTAGGCCATTTGGTGGTAGTGTGCAAGTGTGGCTGTTAATTCAATGAATTTCCTCTTGTTCAACTGTAATTACACCCACACCAATGCATAGGTATACATCCCATGTTTTTTAGTAAGCCACATTCATACTTATGCATGTGTATACAGTGTTTGCCTTGGCTGGTAAATATGGTTGTGCAATGACAAAAGATGCTATATAAAATATAAACTGCAGTTCACGTTGTGACAAAAAATAATAATTATCATGCAGTTTGATTAAATGTTCACTAGATGGCAGTGTTTTAATACACAAACAGACTCGACGTCATTCTTAAACAATCACATGTGAGTCATACTGAATGAATGCCTGTAGTTTTTGCAGTGATAGAGCTCAAATATAATCTATTCATTTCCAGTCAGTGTAATTCTTATTAGTTAAAGAGTCTGGCCCCAGTATTAGTCAGTGCTACTTTAAGTATTTTGACATAAAGTTCAATAATGAGCCCTCTTGCACAGTGTGCTCATTATAAGACACATTCAACAAAGTGTTTAATATAGCTGTCCCACGTAATGATATCATTATTATTATAATGTACTGAGACACTATAAAATCTCTGCTATTAATATTTAATACATGTGACTATTAAGAGTTATCCTTTAACTAATTGACAACTGAAGAAGCACCATTTATATCCTTGCACGAATATTGTCATAAATTGTGTCAACACAGAGACATATGGCTGGCTGTTTTTCCTTCCTGTGCTTGATTAAGTTCTCCATTGGATGCAGAGCTCAGAACATGATAATTAAAAGTAATCTGTAAGAAACAGACGCTTCTAACATGACGCTCCCGCTGAGAAATTCAATAAACTGAGGATAGCACACATGCAGAGACAACAAGATGTCCAAGTAGTCAGCATTTTCCCAAATTTTGATTTATTTATTTTTTTTGCTATGTTGATTAGTACCTTATAGCTGATATGTTATTAAATTGAGTATTTTTACTAGTTATTGTAATTGTTTGTATTATTATATAGTATATCACAGTGGTTTCAAATTTTAGTATAAAGGTAGGTTTCTCTTATGTATTGTTTCACAGCTGATAAGCGACAAGATCAACTGTATTTAGATGACAATACTGCGCATAACATTTTATATACTATATTATTTATTTGAGATTTTTGGTCTGAGTGTAATCTTTTTTTGTATGTAACCCACACTATAATCTTTTCCTGACTCTAACCAAACAGCAATACCTAATATATAATTATATATAATAATATATATAATTGCTAATACAGCAATAAACCTAATCAAACAGTTAGTGAAAGTGAAAGTAAAAGTAAACGAAAAGTAAAATAAGACCAAACAGTGAGTGAAACGGACAATTCCTCCACCCTCCTTTCTATCTTATGAGGTTTGATGCATCATCATCCAGGTAAGTAAATCCCCAAAAGTTGATTCTGTTCATCTGGACGTAGTGTTTTCAGTGGGAGGAATGTTTCGTCACTCACCCAAGTGACTTCTTCAGTCTCAGCTGACTGCAGGTTTCCCCAACCTTAACAGTACATTTAAACAGCACATTTGCATGATGACTGAAACTAGTACCACTGAGGGAACAATGGACTGGTTCCTTGATCATTAATATGCAAATTCTCATGACAACAACCACTGATCAATGGCCATGAGTACCATTCACAGAGAGTTGGGGAATAGCTGCAATCACACCATTGTAAGATGGTGAAAGATGTACCCTCGGGCCCCCTCCTCGATGACTCCCCGCTCAAACCAGTGTTCCTCCCTGTCCAGGATGTGTACATCCTCATCATTGAAAGAGTGTCCACTGGCCTGTAGGTGTGAATAGACTGCAGAGTTCTGGCCTGACGAGGTAGCTCTTCTGTGTTGTGCCATCCGCTTAGCCAGAGGTTGTTTGGTTTCCCCGATGTATAAATCATGGCAATTATCCTGGCACTTTATTACACTAGTACACTATATTATTTTGTTTGTGTCACTTCGGGTTTTCACTTAAGCTCCAGCTGTCCGCTGATCAAGGACCTGACCTCCCAGCCCATTGTTCCCTCAGTGGTGTTAGTTTCAGTCATCATGCAAATGTACTGTTTATAAGGTTGAAACCATGCTGAGGCTTCAAGAACCCTTTCTCATCGCTTCATTGTATGGCTGATCAACTTTATTCTTCTGTGGTCACTCCAGCCCTGCTCTTAAAGATTGGTACCAGTGCACTTTATCTCTACTCACTTGCCAAGACCGTTGGTTAAAAAGTCCACTGCCTTCTCTACTAGACATCAACATACCGCCGCAGCTATGTCATGTGGACCAACTGCCTTTCAAGTCCACATCCTCTTCATAGCCGCCCTGACTTCCGCCTTACTAATCCTCTACACGCCCTTATTTATCTTTTCTTCTATCTGTCCTCAGCACTCTCACATTTTTCTTCATTCGTCCTGTCCTCTAAGTATTTCCATCTTTGCAACCTCTCTTTGAACTGCAAACTACTCAAAGTATATTTTAGTACATATGAAAATAACAAAAGGAACCACCAGCCACTTATGTGACCTATACCATTATCGTAAAATAACAAAAAAAAAAAATGTATAACTCACCTGCTTTAAACCTTTAAACTTGCTTCTGTAGCCAGCCTTAAATGGCAATAGTAGGAACTGCAGCCCTGGAAGTCACTACTTACAGTAACCACTCTAGGTCTGTGGGGAATCTGTGGGAAAAACCCCACTTATAAATTAGTTATTAAACATTTTCAACTGCAGACAACAAAGCTGCTTTCTTATGAAATTGGCAAATGCAGGACCGATTTATTAATGACCTCTGAACAGTAAGAATTCGACAAACTGCTGGCCGTGCAACCATTCAGCACAGCACACCACATAGTGTCAATATGTCAATATGGTGTTGCTTTTGCACAAGTGGTCCACTGGTGTTTCCAAACCCATACAAGTTAGAAAACTCAAACACATTATACACTCGCCTGATATATTTTTTTATATGGTTTTCAAACACTGACACTGGCTGTATTTGTGCCAGTAGTCTGCTCAGTTCATCGGTCTGCCATTCACGGGGGTAGATTAAAGAAACAGGCTCAGCCCTGAGGCTATATATAACCTATGGAGAGATGACAGTGAGCAAAATGGCATGCAGTGACATTCACAGAATTTAACATTTACCACTAATAACACATGATCTTCAATTTTTTTAGATGCCTGGATCCTCGGCATGGTAAGCACCACATTGTTTGGTGCATATTTATTGATAAAAATGAGAATTTTAATTTTAATATATTCTGAGATAAAAGTTTCTCATCAGTTGTGGGGAAAATGGGCTATTTATGTTGTTCTTTTCCTGATTTTAAATTCCCTGGAGGAGCACTGTACTGTATCTGCATTAACCTGCAATAAAATCCATTTGGACTCTCTGAGTTTGTATATGTTTCCCAGAACATGTTTAAATGAAGTCATTTCTTTTGACCCTGTTATATGTATACTATCGTGGCACATTCTAATCAGGGTGAAGGAGTCGGGTGAATGCATCGTAGGTAGGAGGAATATATTAGTCACACGCACTTTAGTAATGGGATGGGAGGGAGAACTCCAGATCTGCTTCCCAGAGCAGAAAGTCTGCTCTTAATTTAGAATAATGCATTCACATTAAAATTCTTTCTGTAAAGCTTTGCTTTAAGAAAATCTAAATGTTTTATTAATGTTGTATTAAATTATATCCTATCACAGTGGACCAAGATGGAACTTTTAGAAAGGCTGAGCTTTTATATTTCATAACCGTAGCACATAAAGTAACATGAATCCAGTTGTCAAATTCAACCCAATTTTTTGGGCTTTTTACTTTTTACCGAGGAAGAGGAACTTTGCACGTATTTCCCAAAGCTAAATAAATCTGTGTTGGCAAAGAGGAAAAAAAAACCTTCCAGTTCTGCGGCAAATAAAAAACAGAAGTATGATAAATAGTGATGTGGGGGTGGGAAAAAAGCAAACCTTACATAGATTTGTGAAAAGAAAAATATATATTCATTTCCAACTCCCTGCTCTTGAGCTGCAAATGACGCAAAGCTGGTTATACTTTCTCATTATTCTTTCTTTAAAACTTTTACATAAACTTTTATTTAACAGTTATCGGAAGGTCAACAACATATGGTAGTTAACTGAAATGTATCAGCTTATTTCAACAAAATATCTTTACCTACAAACTTACCTGAGGCTTGACTAGAGGTCAGGCTGCTGGCCTTTCAGTACAGTGGTATAAAGCCTGAAAGCATGAAGGAGTCAAAAACATCTCTCTTACACTGAGTGAAATGCAATGTTAGTCCAACTGAAATGAGGAAATACAGTAAGGGAGCATCATCATCAACAATGACGAAAGAAAGGTCACACACACACACACATAGGAATTACAAGAAATACACACACATCCGCTGAGAAGCCCCTAGTGATACTGCACAGGATGTTTTGAGTTGAGTGTTATGAGACAGAGTTGAGCACTTTGATGGCATTTGGACAGAGGCTTTTCTGTAGTCTGGAGCCGCAGTCTTTTATTGATCTGTAGCATCCTTCAGAGGGCAAGTGAGTGAAAAGGCGGCACCCAGGATAAGAAGAGTCCTTGATGATGTTCGGGGTCTGACATGAGCACCGGGCTTCTGTAGATCTCCTCAAGTGCAGTGTGAGTGAGTGTTGTTGGTTGTCTGTGCCGATTGGATGGTTTTCTTAAGAGCCTTGTTGTCAGCCTCATTGCAGCGGGAATGCCACACCAAAACTCCATAGCTGAGTGCACTTTACACTGAGCTACGGAAGAAGGACACCAGCAGCTGTTTGGACACTTTGGCTTTCATAAACATCCTTAAGAAGCTGAGCCACCTCTGAGCCTTCTTTACCAGAGAGGCTGTATTTATATTCTATGTGACATCCTGAAGGGATGTGTGTGTGCCAAAGAATTTAAAGTTGGACACTCTCTCCACTCCACCCATGTGTAATGTGACAAGTTTCTCCTTCTGTCTCCTTAAGCTCAGGATCAGCTTTTTTCTTTTAGAGGTACTGAGTGCCGGGTAATTGATGGAGCACCATACTGACAGTTCATTCCTGTAAGCAAACTCATCAGCCTTGTGTATTAATCTCACCACATCATCTATAAACTGACCGTGTTAGTGATGAAACTCATTTTTTGTTTAAAAAA